ATTATCCAGAGAAAACGTCTGCTCACCAGTATAATGTGCTTACAGAATGATGCAATAATGTTTCCCTGATACAGTACAAGATGGTTTCTCTCCAAGAAGTGTAACTTTAAGCTTAAAGAAAACCAATGTTGAAAGAAAATATAATAGGCATCATCCCAGGTGAGAATGAACACGCCACATACATAAATGAACATTAGGAAATTAAATGAAAATACGATAAATATTTTCTAGCTTGGATGTAATAAGTTACAAATATTGCTGTAATACACAAAAAAAAACACAGCTTCTGGCCAACTTCTCCATGTGTTATTTCCCAAGCTACATTAGTATGATTAAATGGAACACTTATCAACATTATACTCTCCAAAAATAACAGTAAATATATGTAAAATCAGGAACCATTGTAAATAAGCATTTTTTCCCCAACCTCTATTATGTAATTAATCAGGTTATTAGAAAACTTGATGGCTCTTCTTTGGGCATTACTTAAACTACCTCATATACTAATGCAGAAGTTGAATTTCCATGATCAAATTTTGGGTGAAAGAGTAGGGTATAAACTTTTAAACATGGAACATTTTGGAGAGACTGCCATTGTTCTTTCAAAGACTCCCCAAGATCATGAAAGGAGCCAAAAATACAAACATAGACACAAGGAGTTGAGCAGTCACCTTTCATCACGGTGTGCTATTCTAAGATTCTATTATGGGTTTGCATCAGATGTGATCGAGTGGGAAACAAAACTCTATCACTGTGTCATGATGATAGCAAATATGCGCTATTGATTTTTATTGTCCACTTTTATACCTGGGGCTTGCATGAACTAAAAGGGTTTTTTAAAAGATCAAAAAAAATGGATTTAAAATGGCCACAGGCATCACCTGAATGCACAAGGGGCCAAGTCAAATTTTAATATTGATCAGAAAACAGACAGTAGAGCTGAAATTAACATTTTAACAAAGACTGCATCACTTTTTTCTTCACTTTTAATTGAAGACCACATAGAAAAAAAGACAGTTTTAAAACTAAGGATGGTGGAAAGAATTGCCGCACTTTTAAAAACCATTTGTTGGACCTCATTGCGTTTGCACTGCTGCTCTGCAAACAATGTGGGGTGGTGAGAGAAGACAGCTTGGCACCGAAGCATGCATGCTGAATACGTTTTGGCTGGCAACAGGTAGCTAGCAATCGGTTTGTGTAATTGCAACCAGTGAAGATGCAGGGTTTCTCACTATATCGATGGAGCCACATAACCCAAGTTTTAAGACAGTCAGTTATTCTCTCCTACGATATGATATATTAGATCTAACCAATGACTGAGAAAACTGAACAATTAATGTGTAAATCCCATGGCTTTGGCAAAATAATGAGAATCTGGAATGACAAACTTCAGGGACCAGGTCTTAGGAAGAAAAAGGAACACCCTGTCTCTACCTGTTGACTGGTGTTATTGAATTGCAATTTCCCAGTAACTTTTCTCCCCTTCCCATAACATCCATATATTGTTGTCTGTCTGTATGCGTGCAGGGATTTTAAAGGTATTAGAATTTTATTAGTAAAGCGATACATTGATGTCATATATTGATAGTTCATAGGTGTTTGCTTATGGTTATAAATTACTTAACAAAAGCTACTATTTATTGCAAGTATAGAAGCTTGATCAGCGTTTTCTGTAAATCTGAATTCATCAGACAAGAAAATTAGGCAATTTATATACTTTGATTAAATCAATAACGTCTATGACAATCCTGAGAAAATCTGCACACATTCCTAAGTGGGTCATGACAGTCCCAAGTAGAAACAGTGCCCAATCACAACAATGATAAAAACATCAGATCTCAGAACTCAAAGGATAACTGCAATATTTGCTACTACTGAAAATCCAAGGCAACAAATAAGCGACTGTGGACTCAGGTTAAGACCATATGCCTGAAGGATACTCCAAGAACTTAAAACTGTATATCATATTATTTTGCTATGTACATTTTTGAAAATTATTTAATGGGATGTTGGGTCGACCGGATGAGCCAGCAATTATTGCTAATCCCCAGTTTCCCAAAGAGGATGGTGAGCTGCCTTCTTTAACCATTACAGTTCATTTGGTATTGGTACACCCACAATGCTCTTAGGGAAAGAGTTCCAGAATTTTGATCCAGTGACACTGAAGGAACAGCAATATACTTCCAAGTCAAGATAACGAGTGGCTTGAAAGGGAACTTGTCCCTCTAGTTGGAAGTGGTTGTAAGTTTGGAAGGGGCTATCTAAAGACTCTTCAAGAATTTCTGCAGCCCATCTTGCAGATGCAGACTGCTGCCACTGAGTGTGAGTGGTGGAGGGACTGAAAGTTTATGAATGAGGCATCAGTTAACTGGCCTGTTTTGTTCTGGATGGTGTCAAGTTTGTTGGATGTTGTTGGAGTGCACTCATCCAGGGATGTGGATAGTATTCCATCACATTCCCGACTTGTAAATGGTGGAGAGATTTTGTGGACTGCTGTCCCTAAGCTGCTCGGTAACATAGCCATTCCAAGAGTTTGTGCTTGATGATTGGCTTGCTTACGCTATTTGCAGCATTCACTTCCGGTTCTAGAAGTCACTGCTGCGCACGGATCTCAGAGGCCCATACAGGTGAAAACCGAATTAGTGGGGTTGCTGGTCAAGCAATGAGTTAATTGCTGCAGACTTCACAACCTCTGACTTGTCTTTCAATTGCTGGTCAATAGCAACACCCAAGATGTTGATAATGTGGGATTCAGCAATGGTAATGTAATTGAAAACACGGAACATTAAAAACAAGCCTCTAAATTACAGATTAATTCCTTTTCCATTCTGGGGAAGGGTCATCAAATGGACTGCCAATTTACAACAAGCTCATTTCACGTTACTGCGAGAAACCAATTTGATGAGATCCTAACATCTTTCTGTCTTCAGCAGCTGCTTTAATATGTCTGTTCTCTCAATGGAGCAACATGTATCAGAGCAGCTGAATCTTGAGATGTCTATCGTGGACACTAATGCTTAACTACACTGTTTGAAGGAGTGCTTGCTGAGAGGACTGAGCTTCCAATGCTCTCAAAACCGCGCTCTCATAACAGTAGGTGTCTCACCCGTGCTCTTGTCAATAAACTAGATTAGGCTATTCTTTTGCAACGCCACTTCATCTTATCTTTGTATGAATTAATATTTATTTCATTTTTTTTGAAAAACACACTCCTTCTGATATAGCAGTGGAAAACTGGAACATAAAGAACAGTACAAAATAAATGCTTTTCACTTGTATTTTCACCATTATTTACTTGTGCCAACATGCACACTAGAATTCATAAATAATGAAGCATTCACCCTCATCACCTAAACTACAGACATCAGATTTATTTTCAACTGGGAAGGTCAAGTTTGATTTGTAGAATTGAAATAATATATTAACACCTAATCACATACTTTTTTTTAAAAATCAGCATCTATTCCTCTCCCAAAGCCTGTCAACTGCTGGCACAACAAATGGGATCATAAACTTCACTCAGGTTCATTAATTCAAAGAGCTGTTAATGACACCACAGGTTTTAAATTTAAAATGATAGTGCTAAGGATTTTGCATAACTTTTATGAACAGTAAAATAGTTATCCTTTTTGAATCGAAACTTAAATTGTCTCTTTGTTCAATGTTGCAGAATGGCAAGACCAACAAATCATTTAAAGTCAAATGATGAGTACAATCTGGATACTTCACAGTTCAAACAGATATCTGGTTGTTGCAAGTTACTGAACATTGAAGAGGATCAAAAACCAAGGATTCATTGAAATGGGTGATTAGCACAAATTTAATTATGTAAAAATACAAAGATTCCCAAGATAATTCTACCGAATCTCTGGTTGTGATAGATATGAAGTATTATGCTAGGATACAAAATATTGCAAAAACTGTAATGCTGCTTAGACTTTACTTTTGCCTCTTGCTCATGAGTAGACAGATGCCCAGGAAGACCACACAAAGTAAACTATCCCCAAGTTCTAATAGATCTTCTCTTAACCCATTGCTTACTTCCTATTTCTGTGCTGCATCTCATGTCCTGCTTTGCTAAGCTAATGAGCACGTCAAAAAAAGTTACATTTTTCTGGACTTAATTATGGAAAATGGAAGGCAGAAAATTAGCAAATGCATGTGAAATGGAAAGGAAGTAAAGGCTAGAAAAGGAATTCAGCAGTGCTTAATTGGGAGAGGCCAAGAATATGTAGATAAGAACAGAGCAGATAACAGCATTCATCCCACCCACCCGCTAGCAGGATGAGAGTGAACAGGTATTGGAGAAAGATAATGTGGTCAACTGTGTTAAAGGATCCAGACAAATTGAGAAAGACAAGGTTGGAAAAATTACGCTTATCACACAGGATATGCTTTTAATAGGGGTTATTTTGCTACTGTGGCAAAAGTGGAAGCTGGGTTGAGGTTGGCAAACATGGATTTCTAAGAAAGATGACAATGAATTTCAACATTTGAGTGCTTCAGAGATTCAACAGTGGTTTGAAAGGATGGTGGGGTTAAGTGTTAGTTTTCACAAAATAGTGCTACACTGCCCCCTCATCTCTGAATCATCTTGCTTGACAAGCAAAAGCAACTTCAACTCATCCCCACATTCTTTTCTCCATCCTGTCAAATTTGTCTTTTCAGCTCTGTTTATAAACTCTAACTGCTTTTTTGTTCACAAGAGAGCAAAAGCTTACCAACACAAAGGGTGAGGTGATTATTGATTGCTGAGACATATTAATAGATTAATTATTTACAATCTGGGAAGGAACAAAATGAAACCTTATCCATCAGCATATTATCCACCCATAATTTCAATGGCTTTAAAAAATACATATTTAAACATCATTGTTGAAAAGAACTATGAAATGCAATAACCATTCAACAGTAGTCTTTCCATTTATAGCTCTGTATATGCATGCTGAAAATTTCAAATTATAACCAGAGCTTTTCACTGCACAAACCACTGGGTTTACCTGGCATATGCCACATTTCAGAATCCTTTCTCTTGACGGTTGACCACTTCACTTCCTGTTCTTCAGACGTCTTTGGTACATCCTGCAACCCTCGGTCTAAAATTAAAAAGGCACCAGTAAGTAAAGGCTTTTAACAAATTAAAATATTTTTCATGTCATAAATTAAGAAACACATCTTATCGTCATAATTTTATGATTAGCCCAGTGCTATACGCTCATGAATTAAATGCTGAATTCAAATAATTTTCAGAACTTTGCACATAGCTTTGGATCGTTGACAACGCAAAAGGTACGACTGGGTAGAGAAATATTACAGCAGATTGCTATCATAAAATCATTGGGCCCAACAAGTCTACACCAACTCTCCGAAGAGCATCCCGCCCAGACTCACCCCCTACCCTATCCCTGTAACACTGCATTTCCCATGGCTAATCCACCTAATCTACACATCCCTGGACACTATGGGCAATTTAGAATGGCCAATCCAGTTAATCTGCACAGCTTTGGACTGTGGGAGGATATGACAGCATATAGCTCATTAGACTGTCTATTGTCGAGGGGAAAAAGAGACAATGTAATTTTTTTTTGAAGAATAGTACCACAGCTGGGAAGAGCTGTACATTTTTGAAAGAAACAATGTGCAAAAGTTCTGCCAGTTGAAATTCTTCTGGATAAATGTAGCAACGATGAGATGAACACGAAGATAAAAAGTTGGGTAGAATTATTTAAACTAAGATCAAAGCATTCTCAGTAGGCCTATTTGCTGGATTCTCCAAAAGTTAGGATTAGCATTGCTACCTCACAGCCCAGGGACCCGGGTTCAGTTTCGCCCTTGGGTGGCTGTCCATGTGTAGTCTGCACATTCTCCGTGTCTGTGTGGATTTCCTGCGGGTGGTCTGGTTTTCTCCCACAGTCCAAACATGTGCAGGTTAGATGGATTGACCATGCTAAATTTCCATAGTGTCCAGGGAATGTGCAGGCTGGGTGAATTAGCCACAGGAAACGCAGGATTACAGGGATAGGGTAGGGGGATGGTGGGTCTGGTTGGGATGCTCTTCAAAGGGTCGGTGCAGACTTGATGGGCCAAATGGCCTCTTTCCACACTGTAGGGATTCTAAGATAGTCCATGTATTTGTTGTGCAGTAGGTGCGTCATATGGTTGTCCATATCAAGGATGATAAAACAGAGTGTATAAAAAAAACTGACCCAAATTATAGGCATGCACAGTTCAGGATTTAAGCCATAGTGAAAACATCCTCAAAATCTTCAAATCATCCCAAAAAAAATCACTAAGGGGCAGCCATCAGAGAAAACTCATTTCCATAAATAGGATGGATGGAATTGGTGAGGCTCTGTGCTTTGGCTCACAGATTGATTCCCTCCCTGTTTGCTGCTGATAGGGTCACTGGTGATCAAATCAACAACAAATCCAGGAGAACAACAAACATGGTGATTGGAGGAGCAGCAAGCAGTTAAGGAAAGAAGCACTGGCAGTGAGGGAGTGCCAGGGGTCTGGAGAGTGTCAGAAATGGGATCAGGGAATCAGTCAACCTTTTGCCAATGACGGGAACAGCTCTTCTACAGAGGTGGCAGTTTGTAGGATCCAGGGGCTGTAAGTGATTGCAGGGAAGGAGGAGTTTGTGAGAGAGGGAGATGAGGAGAAAACAGGGAGGTTGCATGTGGATTAGACGTGGGAGAAAAGGAGGCTGCGAGGGACGGGTGAGGGAGAGTAGGGAAGCTACAAGGGTAGGGTCAGTGAGAGAGGGGAGGCTGCTCGGAGGTGAGAGGGAGAGGGAACCGGAGCCTGCAAGGGGCTGAGAAAGAGAGGGAGGTTGCATGGATGTTGATGGAAGAAAGCAGTAGGATGCATGCAGACAAGGAGGTTGGATGGAGGAGATACATGAAGATGGTATGGGAAGGAGGAGACTGCACAGTAGGGGTAGCAGAGGGAGAGAAGGAGGCTGCAAAGAAGGGCTGGTGTTTGGGGCAGCGGGAAGAGAGTTCTGAACCTGTCAACAAAGGTACTTGCGTCGAACTGAAAACCAGGAAAACCTAAAATCGTTGATGTAATGAAATTACTTGCAAAATAATATGTAATCCTTACCTTCCGACTGAATTTGTTCAGAAGCTCCTTTTTTGGAAAAATACAGTGGATGCTGTTGTTAAATTTAATAATACCAACTGTCAATTGCAAAATTTAAGTCTGAGCTCGAGATTTGAAATGGGGTAAAAGGGGTAGTAACAGCCTGCTTAAAACATTCCAGCTTTTGCAATGAAAGGGACATCACTGTCAGCTCAATAAAGCATGTTTAGGGTGATGGCTTTTTCCATGTAAATGTGTTTCACTTTTTTTGAAAGAAAAAGCTTTAGTTGCCAACTTCTGCCAATTAACATACTGTGGCATCTTAGAAATTAATGCTTTCCTTGCATACTTTGGCTTTAAGTTTAACATATAGTTTATAATTATTGACAATATATTGACAAATTCCTCAAATTCTGCTTCTGTGTGACCCCACATGTGAACACCGATACAAAAAGGTAATATTAGAAATGAATGCATAGTCAAACAAATTTATTTGTGAGAATGAGAAAGGAGTCTCAATAGACCCAAAAATCAAAATGTAGCCTTCACAAAATCTAAAGAGAAACCCTTAAGGGAGAAAAAAAGTTGGGTGCCCAAGCAGTTTCTCTTTTAGTTAACTTAGTTTTAGTTTTACATCTTTCAATGGCAAAAGCAACTCTATCTTAAAACTACGAAGCATTCAAATGCTACACATTGTGGAATCACCCCATCAATAAGTGTGCCAAATTCTTATTAACAGGAAACACAATTCAATGTGTTGCAGAGTTCACAGGCAACACCCAGTTCTAGAGCAAGGGGAATTAATTACATACAACCACTTGAGTTTAAATCCATATCAACTGGTGGCTTTCTGGGTGTAAATTAATCAGTAGACTTGCAAACTTGTAACTTATACAACCAGGTTTTCTTGGATGTGTGTCCAAGACTCTCATAATCCTTACGTGGACCTATATGGCCATTTCATTGTCATTCTTGAGTCAGATTCCTGGACTCCTTCCCAAATGACTTTATTGTGTCACCATCACTACATGGATTGCAGCAGTTCCAGAAGGTGACCCTCTCATAACTTCTCAAAGGCAACTTATGTTAAGCCTGTCCAGAGATGCCTTACCACCTAAAGACTACGAGTGGTAACTTAGACAAATAAATGCTAAGTATGAGTCTCGCCTGGTTTGGTGGAGTGATTCTCACCACAAGGCTGAGCCGCGTATCTTACCAAACCCATTGCTTTAAATGCCATTTGAGACCTCGCAGTGACAATCATGCTCTACTTCTGCCCCATCTTACCATGTGCTGTTCATGTAGGAACTTGCCACTCAGTGGGGCTCCTCCATAAGATCAGTATCACTTGGAGCCACAGCATCAATAAAAGTGCACTGCAGAATCCGCAGAAGCACCGCCATCTGCAAGCTGTGCTAGGCATCAGAAGAAATGGCAGAGAAGGGGAAACTAGCACCACGCTTCTCAGAGAAGGACCAGGAGATCCTTTTGGACAGAACGATGACAAAGGAATGAGTCCTCTTCTTGGAGGACTGGTAGAGAAGTACACAGCGCCATGCCAGTCTGGTCAGAGATCACTATCCAGATCCCAGCCAGCTCTAGGCTGAGGAGGACTAGATAACAGTGCAGAAAGAAAGTGAACAATCTTTTCCATGCCACTCCATGACACAAAGATAGAAGGAGGCACAGGCTGTGTTAAGGAAGCAGGGAGGCTACAGAAGGGCTTGGACAGAATAGCAGAGTAGGCAACAAAGTGGCAGAGGGAAAACCATGTTGAAATGTATGAGGTTATGCACTTTGGTAGGAAGAAAGAGGCACAGACTATTTTTTAACTAGGAAAGGCTTTGGAAATCTGAAGCTCAAAAGGGATTTCAGAGTCCTAGTTGAGTAATGTTAAACGATGTGTCAAACGCCAATTCCAACCAGTGGCTGCAATGCTTTCTGCTTATGTCTTACAGGTGGACCTATTTCCAAGGACCAACCTGTCTCCAGCAGAGCGGAGGTTCTCGACCGCCCGGATTAATCTGGGTAAACCTCGGATGGACCACCACTGCACCACCAACTTGTCCCCCAACTTCTCCCAGGCCTCCGGTTTCCTTTTCTTCCCTCTTAATTTCTGTGAATGAACGTACAACTGTGGGCCACACCCTCGATTGACTTGACTTGCAAGTACCAGCCACGGATGGATACACAGGTCCCCGACTATGGTAGTGCGGCTGCAGCTGATGGATCATGTCTAGTTTTCCCACAGCCACTATGGATCTACTGGATCAAGCAACAAATTGAACCTGCTAAGAACTCACCCAGGTTTCCATGCTGTCTTTTCACACCAGCTAGTTTTTAATGGTGTGTTTGCTAAGACCATAACTATTACCAAGCTGTTTAATATGCATTAAAGACTATCAGCAAGGAACTCACCTCTCCCTGCTGAGAATCTCATTATGCCATCTGAACACAGTTACGTACAAGACAAATCTCCTTCTATACTAACAAAGTGTAATTTTATGTTACTTTCAATTAACAGTGCACAACACCCTTCCAAAATAATATCCTGGATCAAACCCCACTCCCTGCTCCAACCATGTCTGGACCCATCCTGACTCATTTCATAATCTCCTCTTCCTCTCTGGATCCAACTAGAATCTCCCTCCTCTCCCCAGCTCAATCCAGTTCAACTCTGCCCCACCCTCCCCAAACCCTGACCAACTTGACATCAAGGATGCATTCAACCCAGTGTAGCATCAAGGAGCCCTAGCAAAACTGGAATCAATGGGGATCACAGAGAATACTCTCCACTGGCTGGAGTCAAACCTGGCATATAGAAAGTTGGAGGAAGTTGGTTGTGGTTGTTGAATGTCATCTCAGTTCCAGGACACCTCTCCAGAAGTTCGTCAGGGTGGTGTCCTAGACCCAACCATCCTCAGCTGCTTCATCAGTGATCTTCCCTCTAGCATAAAGGTCAGAAGTGGGGATGACTGCACAATGTTTAGTGACTCCTCAGATACTGAATCAG